AAATCCTTGGAACAGAAGGAACATACCTCAACATGATAAAAACCATATATGACAAACCCACAGCCAATGTTATCTTCAATGGAGAAAAGCTGAAAGCCTTTCCCTTGAGATCAGGAACAAGACAAGGGTGTCCACTATTGCCACTGTCCTTTAACATAACATTGGATGTTTTAGACAGAGTAATTAGATAAGAAAAAGACATACAAGGAATTCAAATAGGGAAAGAAGAAGTAAAACTGTCTTTATTTGCAGACAATTTGTTAATTTACATGGAAATCCTTAAAAACTCCACAGAGAAATTAATCAAAACCATCAACCAGTTTAGCAAGGTAGCAGGATAGAAATCAACACACAATGGTCAGAGGCCTTCCTATACACAAACAACCAATCAGAAGAAGCAGAAATTTAAAAAAGCACCCCCATTTTCAATTAAAATAAAAAGAATCAAATATCTGGGCGTTAACCTAAAAAAAAAGAGGTAAAAAATCTATACAAAGAAAATTACAAAATACTGTTAAAAGAAATTCAATAGGACACCATGAACTGGAAAGACATTCCCTGCTCATGGATCAGAAGAATTAACATCATCAAAATGGCCATCCTACCAAAAGCAATACATAGATTTACCACCATCCCAATAAAAGTCTCAATGACATTCTTCAAAGAAATAGAAAAATATATATGAGATTCGTATGGGACAACAAAAGACCTCAAATAGCCAAAAATCTCATGAAGAAAGAGAATGGAGGCATTCCAATCCCAAACTTCAATCTATATTACAAAGCTGTAGTAATCAAAACTACATGGCACTGGAACAAGAACAGGCATACAGACCAGTGGATTCGGATAGAAAACCCAGATATAAGTCCACAGGCTTATGGACATCTAATCTTTGACAAAGGAGCAAAGACGATACAATGGAACAAAGAAAGTTTGTTCAGCAAATGGTGCTGGAAAAAAATGAAACTAGATCACTACCTCACACAATACACAAAAATCAACTCAAAGTGGATTAAAGACCTAGACATAAGAACAGAAACCATAAAACATCTGGAAGCAAAGATGGGCCAAACACTACACGACATACACTTTAGCGACTTCTTTAAAAATAGAGCACCCAATGCAATGATAATGAAGGCAAAGATAAATAGATGGGACTACGTCAAGTTATAGAGCTTCTGTACAGCAACAGAGACATTACAAAAGACAGACATCCCACTGATTGGGAAAAAATTTTCTCACACAAAACCAGTGATAAAGGATTGATCACAAAGATATACAAAGAAATGCTGAAACTCAACAAAAATAAACAACCCCATCAAAAAATGGGCAGATAAACTACAAAGACACTTCTCCAAGGAGGAAATACAGATGGCCAGCAAGCATATGAAAAAATGTCCAACATCACTTGTAATAAGGGAAATGCAAATTAAAACCACAATGAGATACCATTTCACCCCAGTGAGAATGGCACATCTTCAAACAACTAGAAACAACAAATGTTGGCGAGGATGTGGAGAAAAAGGAACTCTCCTGCACTGCTGGTAGGAATGCAAACTAGTACAACCACTATGGAAAACTGTTTGAAATTATCTATCCAAAAGACACAAAACACTGATTCAAAAAGATAGTTGCACCCCCATGTTTATTGCTGCTTTATTTACAATTGGAAAGACATGCAAACAGCCCAAATGCCCAAAAGTCGATGACTGGATTAAAAAGATGCACTATATATATACACAATGGAATATTACTCATCAACCAAAAAAAAAAAAAGAAAGAAAGAAAGAAAAGAAACACTTAGAAACACTTGCCCCTTGGAGGAACATAGATGGAGCTGGAAAAGATCATGCTTAGTAAAATAAGCCAGAAAGAAAAGGAAAAATACCGAATGGTTCCACTCATAGCAGGAGTACAACAGACCAGGTGAGAAAATAATAATAATAATGATGAACAGTTATATACCAGAGACAATTTATGGGGGTAGAGTGGGGAATAGGATCAAAAACAATGTGGGGAGGGAAATGCACTGGACTTTGTTGATGGTACATGGGTAATTTGGTGATGGGAAGCCCAAGGGGATTACAACTGAGATATGAAAATGTACAAAATGATGTTAAAAAAAAAAAAACTTTGGAAAATTTTATTAAGCTTATGCATGCATAAACATTAAAAAAAAATCATCTCCATTGTCCAAGTTCCCCACCAGAACAAGCTGATTATGGCTCAGTGATCTTTATTGCAGGAAAGGGAATAGGTCCCAGATAAAAGTTCCATTCTTGGTCTAGCTTTAGCTGGAGTCCATGTATGATCGTCAGTTGGATATTTGTCCACATTAATCAAGGGAAATCGCCATGATGGTTCTCATTCAACCACCAGTTCTTGTGTTGTGTTCAATGAGAACTAGTCATGGTCCAGAAAATATTTAAAATTTGCTCTCTGGAGAAAAGAAAATATTTTCCTCATTTATCAATTTCCATGATATAAATGTTCCTTCTGTGCCTTATTTTATGCAGTAAGCATTATTAAACTGAACATAAAATTTGGAAGAGACATACAGTATACATGAATATGTGACATTTCCATCATACAGATAAAGCAGGCAAGCAGTCTGAAGAGATTAGATTTTAGAAAGCAAATTAATAACATCATTCAGAATTGATTAATCTTAAGCATTTAGTACCTTTGTTTTTAGCTTAGTATATTTTGTGACATCTGTATGATTTGATTAACAATCTCTAGTTTAAAAATTGACAAATTTCCTGAAAATTTAACAATCATTCCTCAGCAGTCTGTGAGTCAACCTTAGCACATCACTGAGAGGCCTGATGGCCAAAGGAACTATGCAGAACACATTTTGATTTTAAGGACAAAGCAATAAGCTAAGAAGTCTTACACTGGCCAGGTTTAATGAACATGAAATCTCTGAAATATCAACAAAGACATACCTGGTAGTGGTCATACACCAAAATGACCCCTTGTAGGGCAGATACAAGGAGACTTCTTATTCCACCCTGTCTGCAACTCAAAGCAGCACACAGCATATCCTTAGTCAGAAAAGGGTTTTCTGCCCAAGGAAACAGAGAGCATTAGTGAAGAACCCCCTTCCAAAGTAGCAGCCCAACAAAGTTACTTTTTTCCCAACGAAGTCACTTTTTTCCCTGTTGCTCATTCAAGCAGCTAAACAGTATGTGTGTGTGTGTGTGTATTATTTTTATTGTGATATCATTGGTATACTACATTACTCAGAGGTATATGTTCGCACCCCTCTAGATGTGTGTTAGCATACCACACTCACCAAACTCATAGCTCAGAGTCCTCCACCATAGAACACTGGGCCCCTTCCCACTCTGCTTCCTACCCAATACACCCTCTCTGGTAGCCTTGGTCTTATGTTATCAAACTTCTAGGTTTGTTGTGGTTTGGTTTTGTGGTTCTTCTGTTTGGTTTCTCTCTATTTTACATATAATGAATCATCTACTATTTGTCTTATTTCTTCTTACTTCACTTAATTCAATCCCTTATGTTCTAACCCTTACAGTTTTATCTATATGGGTTGTTACAAATGTCAAGATTCATCTCTTTTTATAGCTGAGTAGTATTCCATCATGTTTATATTTTGCTGATATTAATCCATTCATTTGTCTCTGGGTACTGATGGTTCCCACAATTTGGTTAATGTAAATAATGCTATATATATCCCTTCAATTTAATGTTTTGCATTTTCAGTTAAATAACTCAAATTACTGGATCTTCTGGTATATCTATTTTTAATATTTTGAGAAACCTCCATATTGTTTTCCAAAGGATTTAGACTAGTCTACATTCCCACCAACAGTATTTAAGTATTCCTTTTTCTCCATAGTCTCACCAATAATGTACTTTCTGATTCTTTTTTTTTTAATATGGGCCATTAATACAGAAGTGAAGTGGTATCATTGTGATTTTAATTTTCATTACTCTGATAAGTAATGAGAATATTTTCAGATGTTATTGGTTATCTGTATAATCTCCATTTTTATTTATTTATTTATTTATTTATTTTAGTTTGGGCTATTTATTGAGTTGTACAAACTCTTTGTAGATCTTGGATAGCAGCTCCTTGTCAAATGTGTGGTGTGCAAATATTTTCCTTTTGATATGATGCCTCTTTGTTTTAATAGTATTTTCTTTTGCTGCAGAACTTTTTAGTTTGATGCAGTTTCACTTGTTTGTTGTTTCACACACTGTTGGAGTCTAGATCCCAAATATAAATATAACTGTTACCAATGTCTAGTAGTGCATTAATTACGTTTTTTCTATGTGTTTTATGATTTCAAATATCACATTCACTTAATTTGAGTTAATTTTTGTGTGTGTTATAAGTGTAGTTTCATTTGTTAGTTTCATTGCATGTTCTATCCAGTTTTTTTGACACTTTCCTCTCTCCAACATGTATTCTTAGCTGATTTATCATAGATCAACTGTTCATATAAGTGTGGGTTTATTTCTGGTCTCCCAATTTTATTCCATTCTATTTTTACTCAAATACAGGATTGTTTTACTATTACTGTATATACAGTTTGAATGAAGTCTGGGAGCTCAATACCTCCATTCAGCTTCATATTTTTGTCATAATTATTTTGACTATTTTTGTGGTTTCCTGTAAGTCTCACTATGTTTTTTATATTTCTCAGAAGAAATGTTGAAGTTTTGATAGGGAATGTATTGAATCTATATGTTGCTTTGGATATACTGTAGCCATTTTACCAAGGTTAATTATTCCAGTCTACAAGCAGAGAATAGCTTTTCATCTTTTTGTATTTTCTATTCCTTTCAATAGTATTTTATTGGTTTCATTGCACATCTTTGTCAAGGGCATTTCTAGGTATTTGATACTTTTTTATATAATAGTAAATGAGATTATCTTCTTTTTCACTGTATATATGAATGCAACTGATTTTTGTAAAGTGACTTTGTACCCTGCCACATTACTATACTGATTTATTGTTTCAATTAGTATTTTTTCAGTAGAGTCTTCAGGGCTTTCAGTATATATATTTATTTCATCTGCAAATAGTGGTAGTTTTGCTTCTCCAAGTTGGTTTCACTTTTTATCTTTCATTTGCATAATTTCCCTAGCCAGAACTTTTAATATTGTTGAATAGTAGTGATGAAAATAGACATCCTTGTCTTGTACCTTAGAGGAAATGTTTCTAGCTTCTCATCATTGAGTGTGATGTTAGCTGTGGGTTTGTCATATAAGGACTGTATTATGCTCCTTCTATCCCTGTTTGGGTGCTTTGATCATACATCATTGTTGAATTCAGAGATAGGATCATAAGAATTTTATATTTCCCTTTGTTGATTTGTTTAATTACATTCTATATTTCCCTATTGTTTCTGTGGTTTCTTTTGAGATACAAAAGCTTTAAAGTTTGATATAGTCCCACTTGTATATTTTTGTTTGTTTCCCTTTCTGCTGGAATTGTATTCCCAAATATATCTTTGTAGTAGATGTCATGTAGTGGTTCTCTATAATTTCTTGATGGTTTCTATAGTTTCTTGATGGTTTCAGTTTATCCATTTTGAGTGCTTTATTTTGTTGCATATGACTATCCATGTTCGCCAACAACTTTATTAAAAAATTTTTTTCCATCTGTGGTTGTTATTCCTTTATTAAAAAAAATTAGTCAACCTTAGCCCTCCCTGGTGGCGCAGCGGGTTAAAGCCCTGAACTGAGAAGCTAAAGCCACTTTCGCTTGAGTTCGATTCCTGCCAGCCCAGGAGGTGACCACATGGCATGGCAGACCTCTCCTGACCCGCCCGCTGCTCCCCTCAGCAGTGTACTTCGTCAATCTGCCTGTTTTGCTCCCCAGTCTGTCTCTGGTGAAGCCTCTTTCCGCCCCTGAGCCTCTGGCCTGTACCCCAGTTCTGTATGTACAAATAAATAAATCTTTAAAAAAAAAATTAGTCAACCTTATTTATATGGATTCATCTCTAAGTTTTCAACTTCATTCCATGTTCTGAGTTTCTGCGTTTGTTCTAGCTCCATACTTTTCATGATTACTATTGCAGTATAATATTGTTTGAAGCTGGGAAATATGATAATTCCATTTTTCTCCTTTTCTCCCAACATTGTTTTGACTCTTCTATACTTTTTGTGGTTTCACATACACTTGGTAATTGTTCTTTAAAAAAAAGAAAGTCGTTGGTATTTCATAGCATTAAATTTATTTAATGCATTTGCACTAAATCTGTAAGTTGCTTTGGTTGATAGAGCCATTTTAATGATACTAATTTTTCCTAACCATGATCACAGGATACCTTTCCATTTCTTTGTGTGTTATTATCTTTAATATAGCTTTATAGTTTTCACTATACAGATCATTCACATCATTTGTTAAGTTTATTCCTAAGTATTTCAGTCTTTTTACATTATCGTAAATATTATCTTTTTTTCTGATATTTTGTTCACATATGGAAAAACCACTCATTTTGGTGTATTGATATAGTGTCCTGTACCTTATTTATTATTTTTAAATTATTCTTATAGCATGCTTTGGTTTCTACAAGTATATTAGCAGGTGATTTACAAATAGTGACAATTTTGCTTCTTCTTTACAAATTGAATTCATTTTGTCTTATTTATTTATTTATTTATTTATTTTTGACTAATTGCTTCAGTTAGGACTTCCAGGACTATGCTGAATTACAGTGATGTTAGTGGCCATCACTGCCTTTTCCTCTTTTTGGTGGAAGTGCTTTAACATTTTCACCATTGGGTATGCAATGGTGAAGTCATATATGGGAGAAAAATTAAACAATCAAAACCCAAAACTAAAATGACTGAAAATAAATAATTCACATCAATAACCACCTTAAGTGCTAATAGTTTGGACCACCAATTAAAAAAAAAAATAGGCTAACAATGTGGGTGAAAAAATTCCAGCCATGAATACTTTGCTTACAAAAGACCCATTTAAAATTGAAAGTCAAAACAAACTAAAAATAATGGGCTGGAATAAGGACATACACACTAATAACACAAAGTAAATCAGGAACTGCTATTCTCATATCCAATAAGCTAGAATTTCAACCAAAAAAAAAGTAATCAGGAACAAAGATTAAGACTATATAATAATCAAGTGAACAATCAATCAGAAAGATATAATTCTCAGAAATATGTCATTGTAGACTCCAACCACAAACACAAAGGGATAGATCATCCAAAACGAAAATTTTAAAAGAAATAAAGGTCTTAAATGAAGTATTAGATCAAATGAACTGTAAATGGACATTTACAGAGTTTTCTACCCTAAAAGCAATGAATTCACTTTCTTCTCCAGTGCACACAGAACATTTTCAAGAATTGATTATATGCTAGTATATAACACAACTCTCAGCAAATATAAGAAAACACAAATGATATAAAACATCTTCATAGACCGCAATGCTAAAAGCTGGATATTAATAGTAAAAGGAATCCTGAAATGATCCAAAATATGTAAAAATGAGACAAAATGACTTTGAATAATTCTGGGGGCAACAAAGATATCAAGAAGAGATTAAAAAAAAAAACTAAAGATGCATGAAAATGCTGAGACAAGCTACTAGAACCTATGAGATTCTTTAAAAGCAATACTACACAGGAAGTTCACAGCAGAAAGAACTCAATTTAGCAGTTTATTCTGCAGTAGAAGAAAACAGAAACAAAACAACAAAGCACTGGGGGGTGGGGGGAACACCAAACTAATAAAAATTAGAGTATAAATAAATGAAATAGAAAACAAAAATATAATCTAAAATCTCAGTGAAAATACGAGATGGTCCTTCTAATAAATAGACAAATTTAACAAGACACTAGCTATGCTTGCACAAAAAGGAAAAGCCAAATCAGTAGAAGGAGAAGTGAAAGAGGTAAAAATCTAACAGATATTGCAGAAATACACAAAATCATAAGAACCTATTATAAAAGTATCTATGCAAATAAATTGGATAAACTTAAAGAAAAGGACAAATTCTTGGACTTCCAACATTAAACTAGAAACAGATCATTTAAGCAACTTAATCACAAGAACTGCAATT